AGCCGAAGGATCAGCCGAAGCTACGGCTAGATCCTTCAGCAGCTTTGTGAATAGACTTCATGAGTGCAGAGGCCAGAAGTGCGTAATGCACAGAGCCCAGAGGTCAGGAGTGTGTAATGCACATAGCACAGCAGTCTGACGTTTCTAACACACAGAGTGCTCCCCAAGAAAAAACATTTTTTCTCCTCCTATACAACGTCCCCCACCCACAAAGACAAAACCGCCACCGGCACACATTCCGCCATCTTCCCTGAAATGTACTTGCCAGACATTGGCTTTTTGTGTTGCATCTGCTGAGTGCCCTGGATTTCCGTGCTGCGATCAGCGCGTTTTATTTTCTTTCATAGGTTGCTCATGCAGTCGCTGCCTTCTGACCCTACCGGCCCACGTAGAGCGTAAGAGGAGTTTTAGAGCACTGCCCTTAGCTATGTACTACAGGTCTGACAGGCAGGGGGTAGGCAGGCAGGCTGGCGGGGAAAGACAGAAGCTGGCAGCTGCGGGCAGTCCTGTGCGTTGAACATCCAGATAATGTTACTTTTGTGCTTTCTGTTGCCATAAGGTCAACATTTTACCTGAAAATAAAAAAAACAAAAAGAAACAGCCACAAAAATAACTGCTAAGTGAGGAATAAAATTAACATGCAACAACCAAAGAGTTGGGTCAGAAAGATCCATCCCCTTGCTTTTAGAGCAAAAAAGGCATCAGCACCGTATGTATGAATATTTATCAGTGGAACCTCCATTCCAAGCAGCAGAGTATACATTTGTGTACAAATGTATGTTGAAGTTACAGTGTGCACTGTGCACTGTGCACAATCCTATGTTTAGCCCAGAATGCATTATCAGTACACACTTGCTTTTGTTCCTACATGTAATGTGTATATAAAATCCATAATAGTAGTCAAATAGACCAAAAAACACAAGTGAAATCACATTTTTGTTTTAAACACCCCACCACTTTTCATTATGTTGTTTGGACATAGATGTGCACATTTCATAGCAAACCATACTTAGTGAACTGCAGAGTGAATATTGCAGATCCACAGTATATATAGATAGATATTGTGAATAAATTATTTTATATTCCAGGGTATGTCTATAAGCTTTAGTAGACCCGTCCCTATATTTTGTTGTAAATCCTATTTATTGCAGAGCAGTAGTTACGATTCGGCACAGCATGTTTCAGCTTATAGGCAGCAGAAGAAAGAGGGAGCTTTTCACTGTATACTTTTTGGCCACACATTTTCTTTTCCGTCATCAGCAGAAATACAGTTGTTCTTATATAATTTTATTTATACATTGCCACAACCAACAAGAGACTAGTAAAATGAGGAAATGTTCTATGTAAAAGAGATGATCCTGTTGGAAGGGCGTTGCTTCAGGTTATAGTTAATTACATGTTAAAATTTGATGTTTTCATAAGTATGAATTTTTCTTTCTAAACGAAAGTAGCAGAAAATGTGGATGATGATAGCAGTGTGTCTTTGTTGAATAGCAGGACAAAGCTCTGTGAGGAAATCATCTGGGTATCACTTTCAGGCTCATCCTGTGTCCTGTTGAGTTCTTGTGTTGCTCTTCCTCCGAGGTCACTGTCTACATGGAATCCCTACTGAGATCGGTTGCAGGTCAACATCACAATGTTCACTCTGTGCTCACTCACATGCAGTCATCCTGCATGAATACGTATTTTATATTATCCTTTCTATGTTTTCTGGAAAACTTGGAAGCAAAGAGTTTTATTGAAAGTGACCATTAAAGTACATCTGCCACATATGAAGCAGGATCACATTGTTGTAGAGCAGACTGAAGCCATGTCAAATTTAACATTCTATTCTTCAAAGTGAGCCTTTGAGGAAAGAAATATAAAAACTACTTTTGCTGACTTATTTAAAGGTGCAGATCCCTGAACTGCAGTCTTGACTGTAACTTTACTATTTAGTCAGTCACAGCCTCATAACAATCATATGGCTTTTGCAAGCTTGTCCCAGGTCAGTGTAAGTAGTAAATCCAGGATCAGCCTGCACCTTAAAAATAATTCAGCAATGTCAGCTCACATATTTCTGTCTTCACATGTTCACTTTTCATGCTGCTATGACAGACGTTCAGAAGGTGAAAATGATCGGATGTGGGATATACATATGCCAATGCACATTGAACATGACAGCTGCTTGATATCTGAGTGGATATTTGCCAGCCTGAAGTGTCAGGGATGTCCTATACGTAGCCGGTTTCTTGGCAAAATTTGAAAATAACATATTCTTTACAAATGGGACATGTATTGGTAACCTTAATGGATTTAATACTCATTTCCTGGAATAATTGAGTACAATTTTTGCAAATGTAACATTATCCAATAAAGAAATTGAGGGATAATTCACAGCCACGGATACCTTTCTATACATGAAATCACATAGGGATTATTCTTGTATTGACATAAGTATTCACTTGCTAATTGGCTGGACACTGAACAGCTAATACCCTAATGGCCTCTCTGACCAACAGTCTTGACTAAGTCTCTGGTTCGTGCGCATTTATTTACAAGTTTTTTCTACTTCCACAAGCTTCATAAATGCCAATGTTTTGATCGCCTTAAGGATAAGAATGAGGTAAATGGACCAACATTTTAGCCCTGGCTCTAAAACTGACTCCTTTCAGCCTTCCCTCAGCACCTGCAGGATATTTGCACATACATAAATAAATAAATTAACAATGAATAAATAATTTTAATCCCACCACCTTCAAGATTTGATCCTTTGGCACTGGCTGTGTGTTTGTCAATTCCTAATTCTTTTTGATACAGTCTTCAGATACTTGGTGTCTGTCAGGCAAATTTGGGGTATTGTTTTCGCTTGATTAGTTCTGTATGACCTAAGGTCGCCCTGAAAATCCACATCACTCATCAGGACTTGGAAAGGCCTTCTTCCTTTTTAAAAGGGATGCAAAGTGCCTGCCATTCCTCCGGACAAAAGCCTAGGAGGTTTGCAGCATTTGGCCTTCTCAAGGCGTCCGTTTTGCTCAGTGAAGCAAAGATAAAACTCATTAGGGTAAACATGCAGTTCTCGTGGACTATACAGCACGTATGTCTGTGATTGCAATGAAGAATGCTTCCACTGTACATGCTCAAGTCACCTGATGTTACTATGCTGCTGTTGTGTGAATATACTATCGAGAAGAGTCAGACATGTGTACAGGTGTACCCATTAATGTCAGTTATTTAAAACTAATATGAATTGAACAATGTAGATATATTATACCAGGGTTTCTTT